AATGGGGGCGTGACTGGCCACATCCAAGGTAAAAGTGAAGATAAACTTTTCTGATTTCTATTGATCAGTAGATACTTGTTTGACGTTATCCAGAAGACGACTTACCCCTTCGCATTCTAGCTCTCTTCGCATTCTAGCTCTCTGCGCGCCTCTAGCTCTGCAGCTAGCTGTAACCCAATCTCAGAGCCATATGGTTTTTAATTAAACCAAACCAAAAGAAAGTTGAAACAAAGTCTATTAATCAGAGTAAAGCCCCTGTAGCTATACGGAATCAACTTGGTGGGGACCTCTTTAAGAACTATAATCCACGTTTTGAATTGTAATCATAGGATATCACTCGGGTGACCGGAGCCAAATAGTGTTTTTTTTTTTTTGGTTTAATTCATTAATTGTATGCAGCCCTTAAGCTATGACAATATCGCACTGCCACAGAACTACCCTACATCCACCGCCACTTACAAAATAAAATAAAGAAAAAGAAAAGTAACTATTTAAAAACAATTTGTGTCGTCTCTCTTTTCCCCCCCTTGCCCCTCGGGCCAAGTATGTTTTTCCCTTCGTAGCTTCTTCGCATCGCGTCATAGTCTTCCTCGTCTCTAAATAACGCTCGTCCAATCGACACTTTATTACCCTGTGTGAACACATCTACCGTGCAAATTCTCATGTTTCTATCGTTTGCTGCCCCGATCAATGTCGCGAACTCCTCGTTGTCGTTATACCAGGAGCCAAATAGTGTTGTTATTCTTAATTCATTGACTATGAGCCAAACGCATGATGTATCTGGTCGCCACTATTACAGCTGTTTGCATAATATTAGGCCCAGGCGAGCGTCGTAACACACAGTGCGAATCTTCAGGCTATTACCTCTCTAGGTAATTCCCATAGCTTCATTAGGCAATCCTGCCGAAAGTTTAAATTAAGATACCTCAACGGGTATCTCGAGTTGCGTAATGGAGTAGCCTTGCTTAGCTTTGCAAGAGTCGTTCTATGTGATATGTTATTCAGCTGGGCCTAATATTATGAAAACAGCTGTAATCACTTTAGTGCCAGTAGCAGAAGAAGCAGTGGATGATGAAAGCTACTGGATATCTCAGTATGCCAAGAGTTGTGCGGGTATGTGAGGCCCCTCTGTCGTGTCGTGTGCGTGCTATACATACGAGAAGGCCTCTCTCTTTACCGCCGCAAATAACAATCCCGAATCTCCGAAATCACATGCAGGCCATCCGCCGATGCCACGTTGGGAAAGGAAAGAGATTTCTCTATCTAGGTCGTGGACCCTACATGCGCATGCGCGTGATGGTTAGGTAACGGGCAGGTAACACGTCATGTCACCGGGGCCTACGGGACCCTACGGGGTTGAGAAAGGCATCGGTAGGTGAATCAGTAAATGTGTATGTTAATGCATCAGTAAATGCATCAGCAAATGAATCAAATGATGCCTTTCCCATTGGCATATAACATCGTGGGGAACGCATCAGGAAATGCAGCAGTAACTGTGTAAGGAAATGAATCAAATGATGCGTTTCTCACTCGCAGCTTGGGAAATGTGTAGGGAAATGCATCAATCGATACATTTCCCAACCTAGTAGAGGTGCCTTTCCCATTGTTATATACGATAAAGGCATCAAGGGGTTCGTTTACACGCAATGCCTTTTCTCTATAGCTGTAAATGAATTAAATGATGAGAAGTGAAAGGGATTAGGAGGTGGGGAGTGCGAAAACGAGGGGGGGGGGGGGGGGTTATACTCTTTTATAATTCGCTAGATAAGGGTATATCTAGTCCGCATTATGTATTCCTTAAACCATAATACATTTCCCTACACGTTTCCCACGTATCCCAATAGGAAAGGCATCAATTAATTCATTTCCCTACACATTTCCTAATACATTTCCCAACCTATTAGAGCGTACAACGGCAGCAATTAATAGTACCCACGCTCTAGCTCTCTACTCTCATAGGAGACAGCCTCCACCCATCTCCATCGATGCCAAACAGCGGTTATACCACGAAAGAGCAGAGTAGCGCACACATCCACACGAATCATGAAATATCACTCGACACCTCCTTAGCTTGGCAGTTCTTTGTATCTGTAAATGCGGGGTAGAAGGCTGCGATTTATGCTCCTACTTTCCCTGGACGCTACTGTGAAGTCGGCGGGTGCTCTGCCGCTGAAGTCGACCACTAAACGTGCGGCCGAGCTTGTTTCACTCGAGGCTACGTACAGGGACGCCACGGCTCACCAGCATCTACCAAGCCATCCCATCCCCGCACCTCACCTCGTTCGGATCACAAACCATCACTCGCAACCACCCACCACCCTGCAAAACGAGCCTGCAGGCAGTAAGATTAGGTTGGCCTGGCAAACCGCGCGGGTCTGCCCATCACGTGAGGTTTTGCGGGGCTGGGCTTGAGACTGTAACCCCGCTTCTAGGCGGGCAGATGTGGTGTGACTTTGTGGGCTGATTACGTGCGACGGATGGGGGTGCTACGGATGGATGGATGGATGGATGGATGGATGGATGGATGGATGGATGGGGGGGGGAGAGCTGTTTAGACTTTTTCTGAACAGACTCGTCATTTGGACGGACGCAGGGACAGAGCAGAGCAGCGCAGAGAGAAGAGCTAAAAGTATCTAAAGTTTGACCAGACCAAACCAAAGCACCCACAAGTTTAAGCTCAGCTCCGGCCGTAACCAGTAGCTGGTAGCTCAAGCTCCCCCCCCCCCCCACCGCACCTCCGAGCACGCAAGCAAGCCACGCGACCGGCCTGCTGCACTTCGCTTTTAAATCAGCCCTGCCCTACCTACCACTCGGTCTACTTAACCGGCCGAACACGCCGGGAAGCAAATGTTTAATGTTAATTTCTCTAGCAACCAACACCCTACTCTGGGCTGATATAAACAACCACTCTGCGTCCCCTCGCGTCCCTCACTCCCATCATTGACGTCCCGCCCTGTCCAATGGTTCCGCAACGTGTGTACACATAGCACGCAATCAACAGCCATACCGAGCGTGCGGTGCGCGCATACCGAACTCATGAAACATAAGTATGTGGGTAGGAAACATTCTCCGTTCTCTATCTCCATATCTCTCTGTCTGGCTAGCTCTCATCCCACTATTGCATCTGCCCTACCCCAGCGCACCCAGATTGAATTCGAAATACCCCCAAGATCGGCCCCGCAGCAAACGCTTCATCTACGATAGCAAAAAGCAAAACCTCTCACGGCCCCAGCCTAGCCGCACATCCAACAAGAGAATAATACTCCAACAAAAATAAAATAAAAAAAAGAGCTAGTAGAAAGGTCTTGTATATATATATATAGCTAGAGCTAGTATAGAGCCAGGCGTCTACTTGCCCTAACGCTGTAGCCTAGCCTATATTCCAACCACAGACGTGGGACGCTAGCTCTACATAAGACGACACATATAGTCAATACTCCATGGTAGCACAAAACCCGCCAATTTTCCCGGCGGGGGGGAGGGGCAAAAAGAAAAATATTCCTGGTATCATGACGTGACTTTGGTACATACATCGAGAGTCTACCAGGGAGCTCACAGTTACCCGGTATCTGTCTCTACGAATTCGACATGTACCTGAGCTACAGTATATATACTAGATAGTATGATATGATATACTTATCTCTACCCCCCACAACCCCCTCCCGGACCCTACATGTAGCTAATCCCCTCGATCCCGGCCCCCGGATGTGAATGTATATCAAAGATTTCTACTCATCTTATATTGTTTTCCCCTCACTATATCCACAGACGTACCGACTGCAACGCCACAATTGAAACAGATCAGTGCAAATGCAACAAGATAGACGGTAAAAAAGATGCAAAAATAACAAGTTATAAAAAAAAAAGAACAGTGAAAGAGTAGTAACGGCTCTCCGTTTCAGCAAGCAAGAAAGCGCTCCTCCACGAAAAAAAAAAAAAAAAAAGTCTACTGGCTTTCTCAAACAGAAACCACCCCCCCCCCAAAAAACGAATCAACACCATAACGAACACCCCCCACCTCCCCCCTTCCAAAAGCAAAAGAAAAAAGAACGAAAAACTCCCCAAAACAGAATCCCCACCCCCCTTCGATCGTATTCCACAATCCTTCTCTTTTCCAGAATTGCTATTCAACCCCCTTGTCTTGCTTGTCCCACTTTCAATATGCCGTGTAGTAGTAGTGTAGGGGTTAACCTTAGTTGATAAGTTGTTTTTTTCATGAGATCTAGAAGGAATTAAGGGAGCCCCCATCGATTCCCTTTTCTAGAAGTCTTCTTCCCCTCCCACGGTTTTCACCAATTTTGTGTAGGGTAGTAATGTTATGTGGTGTGTGTTTCCGCCAGGAGTTTTTCAAGAGAAAAAAAAAAAAAAAGAGTTGTGCTAAAATGACGATACCCCGAGCCATGCTTTTTGTTCCGCCCATATACCTTAGAACCTAAGAATCCAGTAAACCGAACGAAAAGGAAAAAAGAAAACGAAAACGAAATAAAAGAGAAACCTTGATGACAACGCTTATAGAGAAAATCCGGAGAAACAAAAAAAAAGAGAGGAAATCACATGCAAATAACCAAAAAACGCACAGACAAAAAAATACACACACACTCAATAGCTTTCCCAGTCATATAGACAGCCCCCATAAAGAAGAATGAAAAGAAATCGTGACACAGAAAAGACACCCATAGCAGAGATGCAACCCGTAGTCAGGTTTAATAACTCCCCCCATATGATGCTGCAAGCCGTAGTAACCCCCACGCAGGAACTAAGAGCAGCCTGATGGGGGATTTTCCGAGGTAGCCAGTAGAGATACATGCATGGTGTTGATATCAGGAAAACACCGAATGCGGGAGAGAGTTGCGCGCTCTAGATGGATAGACGATCCAGTGACAGTCGATCATAAGATCTTTGCCTCCTTCTAACCCCCATTCATGTCAGTATCATAATCACACAGATACACCTCCGTTCCGGTTTATAAGAATGAAGGGGGTAGGGGGTTACAAAATCAATCACACATACACTGGCTGTAACCGGTAGAATCTCTCCTGCCCATCCGAATTTCTGCCACCAATCCACCACTTCTCGCCGCTCGGCGGCTCCACAAACCCCTCCGTCGAGCTGCTCGACGACCTCCGTCGCCTGCTCGAGGTGAACGTCGGCTGCTGCTGATTCGCGTTGTTGCTCGCGTGCGTGGCGGCGGCGGCGGCGGCTGCCGCGGCAGTTGCAGACGATGAGGCAGCTGCTGCGGCCGAAGAGGTTGCTGATTGGGACTTTGTGGGCTTGGAGGAGGACGGGGACGGTGAGTTATTTGATGTGGTCTTTGAGGCGGCGCTATGGGCTCTGAAAGCTACCAGCAGATTGGCAAGGAAAGGTCTGTTGGTCGGCATGGTGGTGGTCTGTTTGATCCTTGTGGAGGGGGGGAGGGCGGGGGATTAAGGTGTTGATATTATGATATATTACGCTACTGTATTATAACACCAGCTGATTTTCCACCTGGTTGTGAGCTGTCGTGGAGGAAGGGAAGGTTGTGAGGTTTTGGTGGTCGAGAGAGGAACGGGGGTAGGTGTGAGTGAGAGGTTGTGGTTGGTTGTGTGCGGTTGAGCTGTCGTGCTTGGGGTTGCTAGATTGAAAGCCCCGCGGAATGACAAGCAGGAGAGAGAGAGGTAACCGGAAGAGGGGAGGGAGGAAACAAGCACCGGATATGTATGGCTGGACTGGAGGATGGAGGAAAGTTCTGAGTGGATGAGGTGGCTGTACAGTGGTGGGTAGTGCACGGAGCGGAAGAGCGGAGATCTAGAGGCGGCTGTTCTGGAGGTTGATGAGAAACTGGGGTAGGGGCTCAGAACATCGGGCGAAAACGGGTCACTGGCACTGGCGTTCAGGGCGTGTAACCGTGGTTTTCGACGAGTAGGAATAAAGGTAGAGGTAGGTAGGGAAGAGCTATTCAACCTCACTTCTCACACTTGATACTCACTTGTTCACTAATAAATAACGTTTCCCCTGCCCCGCAAAGATAGATAGTCAAATGAATGAACTGATTTTCTATCCCCAGTGCAAGAGGAGAAAGGACAGGAAGCTGTGAGATATGATGGAAGGGAGATATATATCCACAAGTGCGGGGATCTCCTCTATCCTTGGGGGCCGAGGTCGGTACTTTTTAAGAATATGGCCAAGATAGAGAAGATGTAAGACGAGCCGGGCGATCAAGGTTTCAGGCCTCTTTGTTTTGTACTCGTTTTGTTTCTCAGGGCTTCTTCCTCTTCTTCTTAAGTCTTTTTTGTATTCTGACTCCGCACGCCTTGTAGGCACACGCTATGTATGTACTCATCATATACCTACAGCTTTAATTCGTCTCCCTGCGTCAAAGCAGGCAGGGCACTGAAGCTTGCCTTGACCGATAAAACCTCAAAACCGGAAATGCATGTATGTATGTCTGCCCCCGAGTATGTATGTAAAAAGCGAGAGGGTGGTGGGCTGGGGGAAACATTCCCTACACAGAGCACTCGACTCCCAGGCAAGCAAGCAAAGACCAGAAAGGGGATCCGTTGAAAGTGTGCTGTCTGTGATGATGCGAGTGTGTCGAAAAAGAAATGCGGCTGCGTTACTAGCGGGGACAGGCCGGGAATAATCGTGGGGTGCAAGGGAGGTTAAAAAATCAGTATGTAATTGGCTGTTATCTGATTGGTGCGCTCTGACATCTGATACTGGCGATCCCTTGCAAAGAGCCCAGAGTGACAGACAGTGACAGGCAGAGAGGTTGGTGGTGGTGAACAACGGTATGAAGTCCGACTGGCAGCAGCAGGAAAAACAAGCAATTAGGAGACGAGAGTACTTTACTCAGACTCACGAGGGCGGATTTGTATGTATCATGATGTATGGGTGGGTGGTATTTAGTATTTGCCGGTCGGAATGACAAACGTCAAGGACGGACGATTAGGAAGCATGGCGAATTCGAAGTGTAAAGAGAACGCAAAAGCCAAAAAAAAAAAAAAAAGGAAAACCCTCCAGGATGCATGATGGTGATAGGGTATTCTGGTCTGGTCTGTATTTTCTTCTTATTAAGAACCTCGACAATTCTAGAAACCGGGAATCCCAAGGTTCACGGCGTTCTTTTAAAAATTCGGTTTTTTTTCTTTTCTCTTTTCGTTTTTTCCCTCACTTCACGTGGAGCCAACCGGTTCGGGTGGTAGTTAGCCGTTTTGTTTTCCCTGTCTCCGCCAACCCTACATCAACACAAAAACCACAGCCCGATCCCGAGTAGATCCCTCATCAGCCAGACCAGACAGCCTCATTTACACCTTACACCTCTCCCCTCACCTCCACCCCCCACCCCACAAAAACCACACACTCACTCAGAACTCACCTACCACAATCACCACAATGGTACGCACAACCCCTGCAAAAGATGTCAATAGAGAATAAGCTTTTCTAACAAGCAATCACCTATGCAGCCGTCCCGCTACGTCTCTCCCTACGGCCCTAAGTGAGCAGCCCACCACCCCGCCGTTTCTATACGTCCGATATATTGGATACTGACAATCAACCCACATAGGGTCCGGCCACAATTGAACATTGCTGGATATCCCATCAAGTCCCTTAAAAACCTGTACGTTCCCATCAATCCCATCAATCCCATCAATCCCATCAATCCCATCTCCCGCATCTGACTGACGTGGCCGCATAGTGGTATTTCCGCTGGCGCGTTCAGTGCCGTTGCTGGCGTTGCCGTCATCTACATCCTCGAAGGTGTACCGCGTGTCCAGAACGATATCCTCAAGGTTCGCCCCCGCCCTCCTTCCATACTCTAATTTTTTACTCCGATAAACTAACGCATTGGGGTGTGTGAAGAAACTTCCTTTGATTGGAGGATACTGGGTTGGAAGGGAGAAGCCTGCTTCTGACAACGTATGGAACCCGATCTTTTATCTATCTATCTATCTATCTAGGTCGAATAGTTGTGTTGACTCTTTTTTTTTTCTAAATAGCCGTTCTAAACGTTCTCAATATATAACGATTTCGAATTAGCTTTTTTTTTTTTCCCCATTCCGTTTTCTTTTCTTATTTGAGCACGAGCACGAGCGCCCTTGATACCAGGTTTCCTGACGTTGCATGAGTTTTGTGCGATTGCGATTGCGGATCGATACCTATATTACACAAAAGGGAAAGGTTAGTTAGATGAGACCGGGGTTAAATAAAAATGGTAGATATTTTTTATTGTTTTTAGAATTGACGGAATATCTTGGTCGTGCTCACCTCACCTGCTTCGATGATGTGATACAATGTGATGCGTGGGGTGGAATCGGAGAATATCTTGGGCTTGGAAAAGCTTATGGTGGAGTGTGGTTACACGTCTTGGAAAAGCATGGAGATAGGGCATGGACTGTTGTAGAGTCTGACTGATGGTTTCTTCGCTTGGTCTGGTCAGAAACTCAGAGCTCCCTTTTGGAGATCAAGCTGTGGGGCTACGTAGAGTAAGATTGCTGAGACATGATGCACACATCTAATCTCCTATTTTATGATCATCAACCAGGGTTAGTTGTGGTTACTTGTTCTGGTCTTATAAAATTAATAGATGCCAAGATTAGCCCCCCTATGAGCAGAAAGCTTATATGAGGGCTGGGTACGAGCCTATGCCAAGATGAAGGTGCCGGTGCTGGCTATCATTGACGCCACAGCCATGCCCAATTAACTACATGTATATAGCATCATTCCATGTCACAGGCAAGCACCCCATATCACTCGAGCCACAGTCGAATCTCTCTATAAGGGTACCTCCTATAAGAATAATCGCCCTATAAGGGTACGACTTCTCGGTCCTTATTGGCCCTTCTAAGTACAAAATAACGATTGCCATAAGGGTACACGCCCTATAGGGGTACCAATTTCCGGTCCCGAGCGTACCGTTGTAGAGAGATTCGACTGTACATACTAATAATTAACTACTTACCCACCACAGCCTTATCTACAAACGCCCATAAACGCCTACCCCACAAACGCCCCCCTCCTCCACCGCTACTTCTTCCCCATCACCCCCGGCACCCAATACTCCCTCTCCTCCGCCTGCTCATCCACCCACACCAGCCCCTCCGCCACCAGGTCCTCCAGCACCGTCACCACCCGCGCCGCCTCCCACCCCAGATTAACCCTCACCATACTCGCCGCCACCCCAAACCCACAGATCTCGATCGTGCCCAGCACCGTCGCCTGGTCGCGGTTCAGCTCCCTCGGCACGCTCCGCACCATCAAGCGCCGCCCCACAGCCACCACGGCAAACCCGCTCCCCAGCGGCTTCAGCGCCTCCACGGCCCGCAGCACATCCTCCTCGCCCACCCCGCCCTCCGCTTCCGCTTCCCCCTCCCCCTCCCCCTCCGCCCCGCCGCGAAGGCGGTCCACCACCTCCGCCACGGCAATCAGGCCGCCGTTCTCGCCGCGCGTGCGCCGGCACACCTCCACCACGCGCACCGCCAGGTCGAAATAAAAGTCGCCGACGCTGCCGCCGAGCAGCTCGGCCCAGAAGGAGCCCTTCTTGCCGCTGGACGAGGCGAGCGGGTCCACGCCGATGGCGGCGCACATGCGCGCAAACTCGTGGCGGAAGGCGGGGTTGGAGCGGATGTCGGCGGCGTGGGTGCGCGCAAAGTGGGAGAGCTGGGCCTGGAAGACGGAGAGCTGGGTTGTGAGCTGGTCGATGTGCGATTTTTGGAGGGCGGCGCCGTGGGTGGTGTAGGTGCTGCGGGTGTGGGTGGTGCGCGTGAGGGCGCCGAGGCCGACGCCTTTGCGCATTGTGGATGGTGTTTTGGGGGGGGGGGGGGGGCGGGGAGGTTGAGTTGGCTGTAGTTGAGGACGTACTCGGTGAGAAGTCTCGATATGAGATGAGCTGGAGCTCTCTAGTTACTGGTAGGATAGCTTCTATACAGGTGAGAGCGAGTGGGAGACGGTCAATAATTATGGTCCGATATAGAGCTTTATCGCAGTATTAGATGCGGGGGTGGCAGGGTGCGGGCAGCTCAGGATCAATGATCAGTCCGCGGGTTGGTTGGGAGCCAGTCGTGCATGGTTCTCAGCCAAGTGCCATCATCCATCAGCCAAGTCCAGCAGTGTGCATGGGAGCCGGTGTCCCGCACACGCATTACTTACCCGGCCTGCGCTGCTTCCTCCCGCCGATCGGCACACACATGTACATAGGGCCACCAACTGCAGCGCCCCCGGGTTTATCCAATCACTTGCCGGGCCTTGCTTTCGGAGCTTGCAAATAAGCTCCCCATGAGCGGACATACATATATATATATATACTAATCGGAAACATCAAGAGCGATTCCCGCGTTCGCTGCCGACACTCGCTTGAGACCTCACGACGACGTGCATATCTATGTACGTCTAGTAGTGGATATTCTACGAGGAGATAGTTAATTTACGACTGCTTGCTCGAGCTGTTTTCGTGATCTGGTGACGGTGGTGGCACCCTGACTCGACTCGACTCGATCGTACGTACGTACGCGCACGCCGGAGCCGGAGCAGGACAGGCGATTTGCCCTACCACTCGAGGCGGGAAAGTGGCAGCGGAGCATTAATCAATTAATCAACGAGGAGCGGCAGCAGCAGCAGCAACGAGACCTCCTCCTCTTCTTCGTCGTACAGGCACAACAACTTGAGCTGAGCTGACCGAGGGCTTACTTAACCAAGCACGTCGACTGCAGTTCCAAGTTATAACACGCAAACACGCACGCATACACACACGCTGTCTATCGCTAGCTACTAGCTGGCTGCACTTGAACAACTTCTCGAGATCACAACCCACACCTCCACACAACTCCACCCATCTCCACCCATCTCCACCCATCTCCACCCATCTCCACCCCCCACACACATACACACACAGCTACACACCCTCCAAACATGTGCGATGCTGTTCCCCTACCCCAGCACAAAGACTAACCCCCCCACCGCATCCTCCTCCACCACCACCACCCCCGATGCGGACGTCGACCCGCAAACCGCCGCGCTCAACTCGGCCCTCGAAACCCTCATCGAGGTGTTCCCGCATGTCGAGGTCGACGAGTTCCGCCACCTGCTCGAGACGCTCTCGGAGGAGTCGCGCCTCTTCGTCATCACCGACATGATCCTGCGGCGCAACAAGGACGGCGGCGTGCCGCGCCGCCGCATCGGCGCAAAGCTCGAGGGCTGGGAGATGTTCCGCACGGCGGGGTATCGGGAGGCGGCGAGGGCGTTGCTGTAAGTGTTTTGCTTTTTGCTATGCTGCTGGATACATGGACTATCACTCACCCACCCACCCCCGCTACACTACAGCAACAAAGAATTCAAGGGCCTCTCCAAATCCACCATCAAGGCCGTCATGGCCGAACACAACCACTCCTACCCGCACACGCGCCACACCCTCTCCACCATCGCCACAAAGTCCTGGCGCTTCTCCCTCTCCTCCTTCTTCCGCGGCACCCGCCTCCCCACCGCCCCTCCCACGGCCCCGACCGGCAACCCCACCCTCGACGCCGAGCTCTTCGCGCTCGCCGCCCCCGCCCGCGACTCCCAGATCGCCTCCGACCGCGCAATGGCCCGCCTCCTCAACGAAGCCGAGCACGCCACCGCCGACGCCCTGGTCGAGTGCGAGTGCTGCTACGGCACCTACCCATGGGACGAGACGGCCGTCTGCGCCGCCGACCCCGCCCACTTCTTCTGCCACGCCTGTCTGCTGCGCAGCGTGCAGGAGGGCCTCTACGGCCAGGGCCGCAACCTCGTCCCCGAAACCTGCAGCGTGCGCTGCCTCTCCTCGTCCGCGGACCCGCCGTGCGAGGCCTTCGTGGCGCCGGACCTCCTGCAGCGCGTCCTCCCCGAGGACGTCCTGCGCGCGCTCGAGGAGAAGACGGCCGCGGAGAGCCTCGACCGCTGCGGGCTCAGCCTCGTAAAGTGCCCGTTCTGCCCGTACGCGGAGGTGGCGGAGGAGGTGACGTGGCGCGTGCGGAGGGTGCTGGTTGGCACGGGGGGCGCGGTTGGTGCGGCGGTTGCGGCGGCGGTGGTGGCGCCGCGGGTGCTGGTCGGGGTGCTGCTGGGTGTCGTGTTGGCCGTTGGCCTGGCGCTGCATGTGTTGCCGCAGTGTGGGGTCGTCGCGGCGACGGGGAGGGTGGCGAGGGCCGCGGGCAGGATCGCAGCGCAGCACCGCGGGAAGTTGTTCCGGTGCGGGGCGCGCGCGCGCTGCGGCCGCGAGAGCTGCATCGAGTGCGGGAAGGAGTGGCTGCCGTTTCATAAGTGCTTCGAACAGGAGTCCGACAGCGTCCGCATCTTTGTCGAGAAGGCCATGGCCGACGCTGTCAAGCGCACTGTACGTCCTTATCCCCCCCAATTAACCCCCCCCCCCCCACCACTAACACCACTAACACCCCACTCCCCACAAACAGTGCCCCCGCTGCAACATCTCCTTCATCAAATCCGACGGCTGCAACAAGCTCACCTGCCCCTGCGGATACACCATGTGCTACGTGTGCCGCGCCGACATTGGCGCCGCGGGCTACACGCACTTCTGCCAGCACTTCCGGCAGGACCCGGGCACGGCGTGCGGCGAGTGCGACGCCTGCAACCTGTACGTGGCCGAGGACGAGGCGGGCGCCATCCGGCGCGCGGCCGAGGCCGCCGAGCGCGAGTATCTGCGCCGCTGGGGGCGCAGGGGCGCCGACAGCGGGTGGGTGTACCGCAGGGCCGAGATGGGCGGGAGCGTGTTGGGGTCTGGTGAGTGTTCTACGTCCCTTGTTGCTTTTTCTTTTTTCTTTTTTCTTTTTTTTTGGGGGGGGGGCGGGGGGGGGGAGTAGGGGTGGGTGGAAGGTTGCTAACGGGGGGTAGAGGTTATGGCGGGCGTGAAGGAGGTGGAGGAGGAGGGTGGGGGGTGGGGGGACGTGCTGGATGGGTGGGTGGGGAGGGTGCTGGAGGGGGTGCTGGAGGTCGAGGTGGAGGGGAGGTGGGTGGTTTCTTGTGAATCTTCTTCGTTGTCGCTTTTTTGGGAGAGGCTGGTTGGCGCGGTGGTTGGGTTATAGGGTATGGGATGGCGGGGGCCGGGGGCCGGGGCGGGGGTGTAGCTAGACTCGACTCTGCGCTGATGCTGATGCTGATGGTTTGATGGGTATGTACGTCTCTTTTTTTCTTTTTTTCTTTTTCTTCTTGATGGTTTTTTGATGGTTTTTCTGTTATCATGCTACTACTACTACTACTACTACTACTATTCTTTTACAACAGGTATGGGCTGGGGGGGCTTGCTGGGGACCTTTTTTTTTTTCTCTTTCTACCTTTACTTTTGATTTTTTTGCGCTTGCTCTTTTTTAACATCTTTTATGCATGGCGAGATGGCGCGAACATTGATTTTTTTGTTGTTTTTACTTGACTGGACTAAAAAGGAAAGGAAAGGGTCGCTACTTTGTGTAGTTATATTGGTTCTTGAAAGTTTTTTTTATATATATACATTATATATATATTATATCTATATATATATATGGGGCGGCGATCTGTAAAAGCCTGGCTGAGAGGTCCCAAGGGCCGCCTCAGCCAATTGTTTGAATTTCCTTCCTATCCGGGAATATGTGTTTTTTTTTGCAAAGGCCCAGAATCAAAGGGTATCGTTTTGAGGTTCCCATTGTTGCTGTTGGGGCTTTGATAGCGACATACGTTGTCTTATAAGCCAAGTTTTTCCCCATATAGTTATCTGGATCCCTTGTGGCGGTGGTAGGCTATGAATATGTCGAGTGATAACTCATGACCCAAATTGCCAATCCTGGGTGGCTGGTTGTACTAGAAACTTGGGATGGTTATACGGGAGGAGGCATTTTATTAGGACGAAATGTCGGGACCTGTAGGAAAGTATAAGCTGTACGAGTACTGTCAAACAAGTAAACACGGTTTCGGCTTCAGCTGACAAGCCACGTGGCCCTTTTTTTCCCCGTCTGTTTTTAGCCAGCCAGTGAGGTTCTCCTGAGTTTTTTAGGCTTTCGACCGTATCGTTTTGTAGATTGTGCGGTGGTTCTGGTGGAGGTCCTCCCCGGGGGGGGGGGTAAAAAGTTGATTGATAGTAGATTGCTTGAAATGATTGTTTGCGGTTCCCCCCCCCCCCCCCTTCGCGTCCTCCTTTGATTTGAATATATATCATTGCAGCGAGTCCCAAGAACCCTGCACAGCGGTTTGTAGGTACTGTCCGCCCATCCAACGCCACTGCACTGCCTATATAACCATGCTGTATCCCCCCCCCCCCCCCAGAGCCTTTGTCGCGTTCCACGGGGGGACACAGTCAGGGCAGCCTAGGTCTCGGAATGGTTGAGAGCATCCGCATCCATGATTTGATAGTCTTTTTTCTTTGCACCTTGTAGGTACATACTCTACTCCTTGACGATTCGGCCCCGGCAGATTAGAGACCTTTTGCCACTGTCTTTTTCTGTGGGCTTGCTTTGAGTATTTGCCGTTATAGACCCGGGCCCCCCAGGAGGTTTGCCCGCCGTGGGGAGGTCGGGTAATTCTAGAGGGTTGGTTACATACAAACCATCGTGATACATCAACTGCTCAGGATGAGGCCTGTGGGGTTATAGCTCGATTGACTTACGTATGCGGCGAGGGGCTTCTCTAGATTGGATGAAGAGGTATGGAGAGCGTCCATCCTGATTGACAATTATGTAGTCAGGGCATGCAGCAACCTGGCCTCTGCCACAGGTAACCCTCGTGGGTGAACAAGGTCGGTGTAGCTAACGCCTAAGGAGTGCTGCACAGGGTAAGCGGTACGCCCATGCAGAGTGAACACGCCAATAGGGCAACTGCCAATTTTCCACGTTTATATTAAGGTGTAGGAACTCTAGGCATCTTCCCTAAGACAAGTACCTACATGTATGTAGTAGAAAACGGCTGCGAGCGTAGCAGCAGATCATCTGGGGGGAGGGGGGTGAGCACGAGCCTACCTAGCTGGTGTTCTGTTGTCTCGTCTGACAAGTATTCAAATACATGTAGCCAGGAACCTTATATTTAAGCTTTGCCAAGGAACTGGCACTGGTCAGCGATTCGCATCAGTCCAAAGCTTAAGCTCACAACAAATCACTCGCGCAGGTAATGCCCAACGTTGATATCCAGAGAGAGGGCGCACGCAAAGTCTTGCTTCTATCCTTAAAGCGCACCAACTAAACGGATAGACCCTATACCAGTTAGGTAAAGTGGTCTTCCTCTTTATGCTTCTACTGCTTGATAGAAGCAGCTGCTATGTTTTGCTTATCTCCAGGATCGTGGAGCTGAAGGAGTGCTTCAACCCTCTTGGTTCTGTCTGTTGAGGATAAAATCCCTTTATTTGCCTTAGAATGAGCTAGATCAGACCATTACTGATGATAATGGCTCCCTAAAGACCAGGCGATTCAGGTGCTATATGTCTATAAATAGATAGATTTAAGGTTTCTGCTCCGTAAGTGTCGAGGGGATCGAGGCCATCGTTCTTTGCGGTCGCCCAAAGCTTTAATCGACATGTACCCCACTTTAGACTCTAAAACGCTGGGTTGACTGAATTTTAAGACCGATAGGTCATGTTCTAGGCTCTTGTTGGAGGTTCGTATGTAGGTATCGGTTGCCAACTTAAGCCAATTCTCCAGTTTCTATGAATTTAGAAATTAAAGCTTGATCATATAGAGACCCTCATGGATTTGTACTATCAAGCCGTTGAATTCTAGAGCCATCGAATTCATTCATCTCGGATCCTTGTTATTGTTAACGTTACCATCTCAAGACCGGTGTATGCCGCTGCTGCTGTGCAAGTGCCCGGGTGAGTTGGCCAATAGGTATCAGGCACGGTACTGTCCGAGAACTAACGCTTTTTGCCTGCATTTTTTTTTTCTCTTTCCCCCGAACTCTTTCGCTGGCCATCGCAAGACATAGAAAATGTCTCAGATTTGTTGTCGTGTATGACGTGGGGTAACTGAAAACTGAAATGTAGGCTTTTGATGGCGGACTCGCTGCCTATCTTAATTGAGGAGCATCCAGGTTCTCCGGAAGCTCGTGGTGGACAACACCCTGGCTATATGTATGTGGGGCAGAGATAAGGTTATATTGGATTGTCTGGTGAATGTGAGTTAGCGTGATCTTGTAGGGTTATGAGCTCGGAGTGACATAGGCATGTAGGTACATGTACTCCACGCACCTTTTTTAGGTTCGTGATACGATACATAGGAGCTGTTTGACCTTGGGGTTCATCGTCGCTTGGACGTTGGATAGGCTTGGCATAGATTCAAGATCGGAAGAAAGCTTTGTGCTTTCGTCGAGTCTGTTTCGTCACTCGGGTAGTTTCGCTTGAATGCCAAATCATTTCCGTAGGAACTAACAAGCACAGGTTGCATTATTTGTAATCCGAAATCCGAGTATTTCACTCCCAAGAGGAGTCGTGGTTTTCCCGCTGCCGGCAACCGAAATTCTATGATCGAGTAGGGCATTTTCAAGCAGAGCTGCTGGAAAGAAGCCAGATAGATGCCTACTTACCTAGCAAGTCTTCCCTGGCCTTCAACTACCTGTTTTTTTCATCCTATCTTTTTCATCCCATCTTTTCCTCCTCGGTTGTTGTGCTGTTGACGTCCTCCCAAGGCGTTTCAGGATTTCGTGGTGCATAAATACTAGGTGAAGACATATCCGGCGGTTTGTTTATTTGGGGTTCATTTTGGGCTATTTTTACTTGTTCCGAAAAAACCAATCAGCTTTTGGTTGGGATGCTGGAGACATCACGAAACCGGACAGAGGAGAACGACGGAGGGGACAGGACTCGTCTTCAACATCACGAAACACCCGCCCAGCCTAAGTAAGCAAGCATACTGACTCCTACACACTTTGACACCACATCGCCGCCGTTTTTATACCCATTTGCTTTCCTCTCCTCCCCTCTATTACCCGCTTATTGATCTGCTGCTGCATCTGCAGCCAGTCCGCCGCCCCCCTGCCTTTCTCTTCCCCCTAGCCCCTCTCGTTTGGTGCTGCTGTTCTGCTTCACTTCTCGCCCTTTCATCTTCTTCCCCTCTATCCTATCCCCACATAACCCCCCGAGGAGCATCGTGTTTTTGTTGCCGTTGTTGCTTGGTCGACTTTTGAAAGTTGGAGACCCCTCCCTACCTCCCCACAATATACCTTTCCCATTTACCAGCCTCAACAACACCTCCTCATCATCTACAGCGTTATCATCCACCACCACCACCATCATCATCATCATCATCATCATCATTACCACACACAACCTGGCCGCTTGCCGCTTGCCTTTGGCAACTGTTCTTTTGCTCACATAAACTCTCGTGCTTTCCTCGATTCAGTGTCTCGGCCCTTACATCACCTCGCCCTGGAGCAAGTGCCCGTGTATTGGTAAGTACCCATCCATCCATCCATTTGCTCTCACGTGCTGTCAACCACGTCTTTACGTGGCTCCCCCACACCACATCAATCACATCATATCAATCACATCATATCACATCGATCATCGAGCCCCGTACAACCTCTAATCTATCCATCTTCCTCCGCCACCCCCATTTCTCACTGATTGACACATCAACTCTTTTTTTTTTTTTTACCACACCCCTCCTCTTTACCTCCTCCTCTTCACAATACCCTTCGTTTCTTTCTTTATTCCCCTTCCTGTTGCTAATCCTGTGTACCGCTATCAAATAGCCTTCTTTGAACCAACACGGTTTCAACGCCAGACTGTCCGCCCCACTACCCGGAGATTCGATCAGCGAGGAGCCTGTTTCGACCAGGGACCTCTCCGACTTCGTGACTCCTCACCAAACGAACATTCTGCATTCTCATCAGATGGGCCAGGGTGCTTCAACACCCCAAAATGATGGCAGGGAGATTCAAAATCATGGGGCATCCAGATCAAGTCAACAAGATGAAGCTACAGGAAGTAGAGGGACTCAGGCTCAAAGCACGCCCGAAACCAGACCAGATGAGACAACTACGGCCCTTAGGAGGAGTAGGCGGTTACGAAACCACATCGATCATTTTGCACGGATAGGGAGTCGCTTGTTACCAAATTCATCTACATCATCAACGTCGTCTTCAGTGAGTAGTCGAATGCATAATATTCGTAATCGTAGATCACGGCTTCCATCACCTTCATCTACCCCTGGAGGAGGATCTTCGCCTAACCGGACTTCTTTATCATCACGTCAGCGAATTCGTGGCTATACATCTCGGCCCCAGTCGAGTTTTGATCCAGAGATCAGGAATTCCACTGGTGATGTTGATATGGTGGATATATCAGCAGTGCCATCGGGCGATACCCGAACCCCAACACCACCCACACCTAGTTTCGAGGCGCCTGCGACTGAATCCAGAAGATCTAGGATGGCAAGAGTCAGGTCATCAATACCGTCTTGGCCAGATCTCATTGGTAGCAGAAGGCCAGGACATTCAAATTTTAACAGGAATAGCGCGCTCTTGTCATACAACAATAACATTAGTAGTAGTGCCGATATGGATACTGACATGCCTCACGCTGAAGTAACGCCTTCTTCACAATCTTCAGATTCTTCGCCTTCTCGATTAGAAAGGACTGCGGGTGGGTCTGGGAATTTGATGGAGGAATATGATAATCCGGCTCGTGTGAGGCCGGGGGAGGACCAGGCTGCTATGTTGTCAAGGCTCTTGTCGGTTGCTGCGGCTGCTACAGCTGCTTCTTTGGTTGGAAATACAGAACAGGCTATCACAGAAGCTCAGGATGTAGCAGGAGATAATGGTGGTGATGGAAGCTTTGAGTCTTTTCTACGAGCATTACAGAATGGACGCCTAGCAGCAGCTCTTAGAAATGGAGGAAATGAACTGGGTGGGGGTGCTCCTCCGGATGCCAACCAAGCAGATAATACACTTATGGCACCATTGAACTTCTTCCGGATGTTTCGCTTTGGAAGTACAAACAATAACGAAGGGAATGGAAGTGGGGAATCTGGAGAAGGCTCCCGCTCTCGTATGGTTCCAGTAATCATTGTTGGTATCCGCTCCGTTACTCCTAGGGACTCAACGGATGGAGGGGCCGATAGGCCGGCACCCTTTTTCGACGCCTTGGCGAATCTTCCTGTCAATCTCCCAAGTATTAGGCGACCAAGGCTCAGTAATAACCATAGGCGGGCCTCTATGGGCGGAACCCCCGCCAGCCCCTCAGGATATGATAGCCAAAGGCATTCGCGTGCTACATCTTCCAACTCTCTAAGACCTGTATCGGATATTAGCCCTGCATCTATACCAATTCTTTCAGATACCTCACCTGGACCGCATCCACCACCATCAACACCTGCCGACCCAAGCTTACTATCTTTCCCCAACCCGTCTTTCAGCAACGGTCAGACCTCAGCAGAAAGATCGGAGGGATCCGATGAAAACATGAGTAGTGGTGCTAGGGATCCACCTAGTCGACGCCGTCTATCAAGGCGATTAAGTAGCTCAGATAGCATACCGCCATTCAGCGCGTTAGGAGGCAGGTCTGCTGGATCAAGTAATAACAACTCTGCCGGTAGTTCTAGTAGCGCAGCCGGTAGCGGATCTGGCCCTAGGCGTCCGCTAGGTAATGCGGAAGGTACTAGAAGTTGGATCATCTATGTTCTTGGCGGCTCGTATCCAGAGGATCATCCTATTTTGACCACGCCGAGTTTGTTCACAGATGTAGGAATTATATTCTCCATCATTTGTAGAGTATCTTATATTGTAGTGATTGCTAACCTTTGTACATCAACAGGCTCCAACATACGAAGATATGATGCTGCTATCTTCCCTCCTTGGGCCAGCAAAGCCCCCAGTTGCCACTCGAGATGATGTGAATTCGGCCGGGGGAATATTCGTCTTCGGTGAAGAGACCACATTGAACGTTAGTATTGCGGAAGGGGACAGATGCTTGATCTGTTTGGGTGATTATGAAAAAAGCGAGGAGTGTAGGCTGCTTTCAAAATGCCAGCATGTTTTTCATAGGGAGTGCATCGATGAGGTATGATACCAATCCCGTAATTTGATGTGGTCAATACTGATGATATCATAGTGGTTAACCACTGGTCGTAACTCATGCCCGCTCTGCCGAAGTCAGGGAGTCAATGAGAAGGAACAGCCCCCAACTACTTCCACAGACGCCCCTCCGGCAAATTCCGTTGATGGAACAGCAGCTTCATAGAATTCCATGTATCCTAACTATATTGTGTGGTTCGCTTCAAACTGCCATTCACATTTTCTTCGGACATTGTGGTACATTATTGGGTGGTTTTTAGGATCCTTGTTCATATTCCAGGATTTACCCGCCTCTCCCCTTGCTTGTCTTGTATTCGCTTGGTTTTTTTTTTGTCCTTAGCAGTCTCTATTTTATTCTCCTCTTGTTCAGGGAATAAGACGGTTTGGTCAGGTGCATGGTTGGTAGGTTGATTTTTTTTCTCAGTGGTTTTGCGATGTCTAATGCCAAAGTTTTATTGTATTTTCTTTCTGTTGTGGCGCGGCGTCGAGTGTTGAATTCCCCTGCCCTTCTCTGTTTGACTACACCGGCGGATTTAGTTATCTCGTTTGTATCCTAACATCCAGTGGGTCTTTTTCATGCGCAAAAACCTATTGGATATTATATTGGGATGAAAACCCGGGGTTATCTTACGTTTTTTTGTCTACTTGCTTACTCACGTTGTTTTTTATCCACCATATTCATCATGAAGGAAAGTAACGGAACCTTTCGGGGAGTGGCTTTGGGGATTTCGGGATTTTCATTAGGCATAATATCTTTTTCTTTTTTGCTTTCACTCCATTTTTGTTTTTTCCTGGTCGCACCAAAAAAAGAAACTGCCGGGGTATTACAAACGGTGTTCTGTATCTGTTATCATTCTGCTTACACTTTTCTTATTTATTTTGTTTTTCTTGCCCTCCTTGGCGAATTTTTCTTCATCTGTACTATTTCTTTTGTACTGTAGGACTCCACGTCTATCTTATGTAGAAGCTAATCGAACCACATACTCCCCCCAACAACTCTACATACCCTCAGCCAATCTGCAATCCTTTTACTGCTATTTCTCCCACATAATATCTTCAATCAGTCCACATGTAGACCCATGCGCACTCATTCACTTACCTACACTTACCTACTCACCCTCATATATCAGTTAGTAACAAACGTCAACAACGTACCGTGGCTTCAGACAACGAGTAAGGGTTTTGCACAGACCATACATACCGGCCTAGCTGCACCCAATTAGCGAGATTCCGTTATTCGGGTTCCTGGTTTGTGGTAAGGTATTGTTTAACGAAGTAGTCCGGGCTAGGCTTCGCTACAGTGGCCGTGGTATTACATACGCTGACCTCCCCTCGTACGGCCTCCGGGACGTTATTTGGCCCGGAACGTGCCGGCGTGTACAGATGTTTACATGTAGGTACCTCTCCTCCATACGTACGCATACGATCATAGCTGATCCGAGGTAGGGGCTGGCTGTCTGAATGGCTTGACTTCAGCTAGGACTATGCTTGTGGGAACCATCGTAATGTGCCTGGATCTGCTTACGATCTTCCGGAGGGGAGCATACATGTGCAGCAAAGAGAGGAAGGAATATGGGGGACAGGCTAGAAAGGTAAGGGTACTGGGCTGGCGCATTACACACACCTGGCGTTCCACTGGATTAATGCCTGTTTACATTTCTGGTGGCAAGACTGAAGGGTTTTCTATCGTGCCAGCTGGGTAAATTCATACATGTACATATATGATCATTGTATCATGCATATTTGTTATTATTGATCTGAACTACATGTATAGGGGTGGGGGCTCGAAACTGACGAGAGTTTCAGTTCTTACTATATATGAGGGCAGTGTTATAGCAATCTAAATCCCTTCCTCCCCCCTTCTTGCTCCCCCTTTTTTATTTTATTTTGGTTTAGGAGTCATTGTTACTATCACGGTTCACATATGTCTCCGTCAGTTAACTAGTGCTGTAATAGTAATACAATCTAAAAGATCACCGCCTTCCACCCCTTTTTTTAACCCCCAAAGTTTTTCAATTAAGCTCAGAGTGGAATAAATCATGTATTGCACATTATAGAATTATCTTTCCTCTCATCTTTCTCGTTTGTGCACCGGCAGTGCTGCGGCACGTGTAGTGGTAAATATCAGCTCATATCAACCCTTTTGCCTGCTACTTCCAGCTCTTAACTCCGTGCGTAGATAATATATTACTAGTACTTACTCACAAATTGGACAAGGCTTGCAGCATTGTTTTGTTAGAGTATGATATTTATACAGCTACTAGACTTAGTAGAGAACCTTACTAGCATGGTACGGACCGGTATGTCGGGTACTTGTAAACAAGGTGTAGGGGTGGTCTGTCGCACCAATAAAAGCTTTGTTCGAAACGGAGAACTCCATCCAGAAGTCTTTAGCTTATAAATGGCTAGATAATCCCGAGATTCCTCGGCAGAAGCCGAGAAATTATACCACACGTATCTGGTACTCTGGGTAGGTAGGTATTGTGGTGCAATGCCATACCTCTATTACAACCAGGGGGCCCTCGTGATGCGGATTTTTTTCCCCTAAATCCTAGGCCTCAAGGGTGCGAGTAATATTCCGCACATTATTCCGTGCGCATATTGCGATTGGCAGAGACATTGATAGATGTATAGGTACTCTACATACATACAATACATGTAGTTCCGTACTTTGCCTACGAATTTACAATCGATACGTCACTGGGGATTGATAGGGGCTTTCTGTTCAACATTTACAGTGGTTTGTTAAACTTTGTGGGTTGAAATTTCATAAGCCGTTAATTTAATTTAATTTAACTAGTTACGCGATACTGAAAAAAAAAGAATAGTAGAAGACATACGTAGGGAGACATTCGCGGTTGCAAATAAAATACAGGGTTTTAAATCATTGCATTTACAGCTCCCTCGAAAATTTCGTACCTGCTGTTGGCGACACAAATCCCAAGAACTCGGGACAAGCAATAAGCATCGGACAATGCAAGTTTCGTTCTCACCAATCGATATCCATGCCTAACGATAATCTCCAATAAAGGTTCAGTCCCAAGACCTGCATTATCCGGTGCATATTTCTGCCCCGAGTATGCACTGTATGCATATGGAGTACGGCAGTGCTTTTTTCTCCGATATGACATCGATACCGTTGATATGCCGATTGCCCCAAGAACAAGGGCCAATGTCCGTGCATCGATCGGACGTCTTTAGACCCGAAAACACGCCGCTGAACGGCATTTTGGCCGTTGAGCTTGAGCACGGAAATAGAATTTCTATTTTCGATTTGACATGTCTTAATATGTTATTAAGCAGGCAATATCATAAGAGCCCAGTTCAACAAACCCGATTTTCTCGTACCCAGAGCCATCTTCATCTATTTACGATTTATGAATTTGCCTTACCCCGAGAGAGACAAGGCCAAGACATCGACGGACCCTTGACCTTGGGTAGTGGTTACTCTACGATAATGCATAGTGGTTATTGGCGGGGAGCATTTAATATATGGTATATGCATATACCTACATATAGGTACTCAGAGTAAATTCATACATACATGTGCATCCCGAAAAGGAATCATCATTTGCCCACACAGCCAGGTATGGTATTCATGCTTGCTAGTTCTGGAAATACAGCGCCACGTTTTTTTTGCCTGTGAATCTTGCTTCTTACGGACCATCATTGACAGCTTAATACCCAAGCCGCCATCATATACGTATCTAAAGTGCAAATATTTCCAGGACTTATTGCGTATATATGAGCCAGGAACATAGATTGTGTCTTGCCTGGATTACGGATGTGGATGTGGGGTATGTATAGTGTAGGGTTGTTACGGGAGTATCTTTGCAGAGACCTTGTCTAGAACAGGGAATTTTCTGGATAAGACATTTCCCTGGACCCTGATCCCGTTGCCTTTTCCTTTCTTTTTCTCATCAGAACGTTGAAGTACCTGTCGAAGTACTTGTGACTTAGATCTTTAGTCAATTTTTTATTTATTTTTATGCCGCGGGTTCCGGAAGGCCTTTCCTTTCCGCCTCTGAAGACTGTCTCGGAGATTTGCGTAGACGGCTTTCAAGTTCCCTCATGACAAAAGATATGCGCCTCGGCATCCAATTGACATGAAAGAATTCAAGAACGTATGATACGTGTATACCATGTTCATTTCCAAAGCCTCAGTGCGTGATGATGCTAATTATGCCACGGATAAGAGAATAGGAAAAAGGGGATGATGCACTGGCAGTGGAGTAGACGATTAATTGTAGTTGGTCCATGCTGCCGGCACTATCATGTGTTACCGGAGGAGAGGTTCGTCCATATGATATTGATATTGCGGCATTCGGTCCAGGATTCTACGTACATAAATTCGTTGGGCTTTTTTTTCTCTCGGTGTTTTCACACCCGGTTCCTAATCATAGGTACTCTACCAACCAAGGACTGATGTCTGGGCAGCGTCTGTAGAGTACAGTAAGTTTTGAATACTCTACTGCATGCACATACATACATACATACATACATACATACTCACATATGGGTGATCACTCTTTGATCTACACCCGCCGTCTGCCTGTTTAGCTTCAAGTGTATGTATGTTTTGGAATTCACACCACTCCTCTGCTATGATTGAAATGCGGCTTGCCCTGGTGCATTTACTTGCCCTAGAGTGCCGCTGAAGAGTAAAAGGTGCCTTTGCAGGTTTAGTTGACGTAGAATAGAAGGCTAACAGAAGCACAACACACTATCATGATTCCAAAGAATGCAAAGATTTAGTACCCCCAGAAGCCCAGTTTTTTCTCCGCTGCAATGCGTAGCTCCGTGGGGTTGAATCAACCAAGATCAGTCAATCAACACCCTCAGTAGTGACACTCACCGCTCAGGCGGTGAGGCGCGTAACTAGAGAGAGTGTAATGTTGCACAGCAAAGACAGAACAGTCAGCTCGCAGACTGCTTCAGCAGTATTAGGCAACGAAACCCATGCTTCAATTTTCCTGTCATCACAATCGGTGACGCCCAACGTTGACGGTCAGTGCGCCAGATAATGGAAGGAGAAGAAAAAGAAAGAAAAATTCCCGAAAGAGTCTTGAAGTTGCGACATGACTAATGACCAATTGGGAACTAGTATCCCACGAAAGATGACTCGGAATCTAGCCCAATTCCAATAGATCGTTCATATATCTGGTG